CTCTTTGCTGAAGGCCTTGGGCACTTTATAGCCTGTTCTTCCACCATTTCCTGCTCCATTGCTGATGCAATTTCATCAGCCATCTTACGCAATCCAAAATTAACAACTTTATACGTTGAAATAATGGGTGAACAACAGTAGAAGGAAATATTCAACACTCAAAATCTAACCTACGTTCGGGAAACTTATAAATTTCCTATCTTCAAAAGTAAGACTTTAATATGAACTTACCTTAGTGCTTCACCAACGTAATAGTCTCTAAACGTCCTTTTGGTTAGATTAAACCTTCGTGAAAACCACAAAGTTAACCTTAACCTCCACTGTTCACTCAAAAAGTTTATAAAATTAACTAAATAAACATAAACTAAAACTAAATCATGTTCAAAAAAACTATAAAACACTAAAATAACACAAACAGTAGGAAACGATACAACAAAACTAACAAAACAAACTTGAAAAACACAAAACACTGAGAAGCACAATAACACTTTATCATAGGTAGATAACCTTTGTGTTTTTGCCGACATGTGTCGTCAAGTACTTCTATTGTTAGACTCACTTCTAGGGTCTGTCTAGTCTTTAAGTCGCAATTGTTCATTTTTTTTAAAGATATAAACCCCGGACCATCTCCTTCCTTTATAATGCAACGGTCAACCATTAAATATTCTAAATGTATATAAACTAAACTTAACAATAATTAACTAAAATATTCAAAATAACGACTTTAATACATTCATGCTTCTTGCAATATTTACAAAATCAATTCACTCAAGGTCTCCGAGCCATTCACTCGTGGAAGGAAAGGCGGGACTCTAGGAGATCCCAGCGCCTCTCACTCAGCCGCAAGCAATAATTTCTGAAGTTTTTTGTTGAAGCTTCGAATGAAGTGAAATACACAAAAAGCAAACTTATGCTATATCTTGTATTTCGAAAGACTCTTTCCGCTACAGATTTCCCCGAAGATAATTTACTATCTACAACCAGAAGTCGATTTTTTTATTTTTAAAATGTTTAAGATAAACTTATACTTTTTTTTTATCTTACATGAAGTTTTTATCAATCTTAAACTTTTTTATGAAGTTATTTTAAAAGTTTTATTTAACTAGATAAATTTTTAAATAAAAGTTCACTACAAGCAGTTATTTTGAAACTTATTCATAAAAGGTTTTAGATAACAAAAAAAAAAAAAAAATGTAATTTCAGAAATACATTTTTTCTATACAATGATACACAAAGAAGTAATTTAATTTAAAATTTAAAATTCATTGTTGTCATAATCATACCAAAATAATCACCAATATGTATAAAAATTCTCTCACTCAGTTCCGATTATAACACCTTTTATAATCCCAACCAAAAACAAAAAAGTTGTTAAACTCCCACTTTTATATATTATTTGCTCAAAAAGTTTGGGTGAATCTTGAACTTCTTGAAGCAATATTTTTATCATAAGGGTATAAGAATAACTTTTATTGCGCGAACTTTTTCTTAGTACTTTAACGAGTTTACGACTCTTTTGACCGCGGTCTTCAACTTCTTCGTCAGTTATGCTTGAGGCCACCTTATTCGTTCTATCTAATGTTTTAGCTTCCATTGGCATACTTCTTAATTTAATTTAAAACCTTGGAGTTATTATTTAAATACAATCATAAAGCAACTATTAGTGTGCTCGCCATTTGTAGGGGGTTGCCCTCTTCTAGCGATTTCTTGGCTCACTATGAAGTTAGCAATGTTAACGTTATTAGGATATTCTCACTAGTGTTGCCCAAAATCGGTCTTGGTCTTGCACTTTGCAACCAATAGGATTTTACATTTATGTCCTCTTATTTTTCATTTGGGCTTCGTTAAATTTTTTTTATCTAAAACATTACAGTAAGATCTCTACAGTAATAACCTAATAAGTAACTGCGAGAATCTTGCGCAAGACCAAGACCATGACCAAGACTGAGTTTGCAAGACCACGACTCGTCTCTGTCTCGCATTTGGGCAACACTAATTGTCACCAACTAATAAATATTATGATTTGTTTATTCAAACTTTTTTTACGTTCTTCCACTGCTTCCTTTCCCATATAACTGATCGTATTCGTTGTGGCAAATGGTCCATGATTTATTTGCAAGTATCTGTTTGTATTGGACTTATTTATTATTTGTAAATTGTTCTTTGCAAGCATGGTATATATCATAATGCTATATCATTTGAGGACGCAAAAGGTTCTAATTATTGGCTTTTGAATCCACAATTTTTCAATTTTACCTATAAAGAAAACAAAAACCAAAAAATAAATAAATAAATTAGAAAAAAAAATCTAACGTATAATAAATATAACAACACACTTGATAAGAAAATATTTTAAATTCCCAAAAAAGTTTAAGACGCTCTTCGTTGTGATCACGCAGCTTGCTTAACACTACTGTGTCACAAAAGTTGGTAAAAAATCTTTGATCTATAGATCTCACCTGGTCTAAATTTCGCCGACGTGCTTTGATATTATTGTCAATAAAGATTATTATATTATAATTATGTCAATATAAATAAAAAATAATATATTTAATAAAAAACTAAAGAGCCATACCCACGAAAGTGTAACGTTCAAATGTGTAGGTTAATTGTACCTGTGGCTTAAGTTCAACTATATAGCGTGTCTCAGTTCTTAATAGCAAAACTCTGGGAGGTGATTATAGACAAAAAAAAGTCCATTTGATGCATGGGCTAATTCAGACCGGAAAAGGAGTTAATACTAATTTTGTGTTTTTCTTAAGGTGCTCACTTTTTTTTAATAAGAAAAAAATGCTCAAAAACTGTTTAAGATAATTTAATTCTAAGTGCACCATCGTAATAATAATAATTGTGTGTTGATGGTTGACTGTCGTGAATAATGAAGAGAAGGATGGTTGGGGTGATCAGTCAGAAATAAAAAGGGAAAAATAAATAATAATATTTATTTTAACATTTTCCGATGTTTCGACCTGAAGTTCAGGCCTTCATCAGGGCTAAGAAAAGGACCAGATAACAAGGTATGAGAAACATAAACAATGTAGATAAAAAAATAAAGTAAATTGAAGTTGGTAGAATAATGACAATTACAAGAACTAAGAGATAAATAATAATAACCGTTACAAAGTGTGGAATAATGAAGTAAACATAATCAATATAAGGTGACATAAGTACTAAAGTGGTCATCTTAGAAATTAAAATGTAAAACAGAAAAAAGGAATATGAAGTTATATAAGAAATAAAAATAAATATGAAAATTAAGATATTTTAAATAGAATAGTTAGATAGAAAATTGAGATATTGTAAAGTCTATCAAGATGTACTGACAACGTATAATATAATAAAGAGTTAAAACAGAGAAAAGGAATGAAAGGAAAGAGGAAAAAAACTATTATTCTACCCACCTCATTTTACTTTATTTTTTTATCTACATTGTTTATGTTTCTCATACCTTGTTATCTGGTCATTTTCTTAGCCCTGATGAAGGGCTGAACTTCAGGTCGAAACTTCGGCAAATGTTAAAATAAATATTATTATTTATTTTGCCTTTTTATTTCTGACTGAGCACCCCAACCATCCTTCTTTTCGTAATAATAATAATAATAATAAGGCTTAGCGAACCCGAAGGTTCGATGCCGATACCACCAATCGATGTCCACATTCTTCCATCCACCTGGCTCCGTCTAAATCCACTCCCGCCAGATCAGCCTTAACGCAATCTCCCCACCTTCTTCCCCACCCTACAGCGCATTTTAACTTTTTAGGAATTCTTTCGTTACTAAGCCCTGCGATTTTACATTCCCATTTTATTCACCTCAACTTAATCATCTCAATTATATTAACCGTATGCTGTTCATGCAATTCAGCGTTGTGTAACAACATAAATTCTCCGGTTGTCTCGTCATTTTTCGGTCCGAATATACTTTATTTTAAAAAAACCTTAAGACGTTCCTCACCCCTTAATGTAAGCGGCCACGCAGGAAGGATAATGGAACTTCTTTTTTTTTTGGTTCCTCCCCTTCCTCGTCGTTAAGACTATACGGGGTTTTCCCGGGCCAGAGGGTGTGGGCGGGGATTTGAAAGACGCCTTGGCACCGGGACGCGAACTCGTGACTATGTTTATATCATATATCAGGTTGCCGAGCAACGGTGGTGCTGTGCACTCGCGCCAGCCCATTCGGTCACCCCGCCCACCTAGAATAACTAGAACCTAGCCGGGAGGAACTTCCAAAGAATTTCCATCGACCATCCCCATATTCGCCATCCGTGAGACCCTCCCCTACGCGGTAATGAGCCCGCACGAGGACACCATCGTAAAGTAGAACAATTTGTCTTTAAGAAAACAGTGTTTAAATTTAGTTAGGTCGATTATAAAATTGACTTTCAGGAGGTCTAATAACGCAAATAAACCATTATGACGAATTATTTCACTAATCAAGATTACAGAGATATGCTCCTCGGTTATAGGTAGTGTAACTGCAGCAGTACAGCGGCCGCATTAGACCTTTTAAAAGCCCTTTTTATCATTAACCTTTGTAAATGTAACCACTGTTTTTTTTTTGTTTTTTTCTGTCAAAATCTTGTCTACTTCACGGTGGTGTACTTAGAATTTCATTATCTTATTATTTAATCATCCGAAACGTTCAATAATAAATATAAAACAAAAACTCAGTGTAATTATTAGATTGACCTGCAAGCAAATAATAATAAATAGGTCAAAACTGGAAAATGGAGGAACATATTGTGATTGTTTATGTTAGTTTCTTTATTTTTCTTTCCAAGTAAAACAACAAGTAATTATCGCTGTATATATATTTTAAAAAAACAAAAAGCTTTGACGCTGAAGCCCCCTCTCCAAAATTAAATCCTGGATCCGTTCCGTTACTGATCAAAGTCAATCTGTTACTTGTCTATATGGTACTTCCTATCTGCTGTTTTCAAATCGCCTTACTAAGATAGTTTTGTTTTATTTAAATTTTAATGTTTTTGTTTTTGTGTGGCAGGGCTCTGATCCACGTGTGGCGACATGCCGGGGTAAGCTCCAGAGCAAAAGATCCAAACTCAATCAGGAGATCAACAAGGAGCTCAGGTTGAGAGCTGGAGCCGAGAATCTATTCAGGTATGTAGAATCCTTCATCTTGAATATTAATACTCTTTTTAGGCTTTCAAAACTATCATAAAAATTGTTATTCAAAATCGTATTTTTTATATAAGACCTTAAAAATTAACACTTGCTTATTATTATTGGGCTACAAAATGAGAGGTTCTTTTTATTCTATCATAAAATGGTGATGCGTTGCACCTCTTAAATTGGAGTGCCCATCCACCCCCATGATCAACGGTGCGTGACTCCCTTCTCATAGACGGAGACTTCGGGGAAGGGAAGGTGGCAATCGTACTTCACTAAAAAATAGAGAGGGGCGAGATATCATTTAGCCCCTCCTAAATATTTCGAATAACAAAAGTTATTAAAAATATAAAATCAAAATGAATAACAATTGATCTACATGAATGAATAAAATATGTGAACTAAGATAAATAGAAAAAATAGAAAAATACAGCTAAATGGCTAAGTTAAGGCCTAGAAGTAGATACGCAAGTATTTCATCACGCCCTTTATCCCTATTATTGTAATTTTAGTTCATTTTCAACAATATAATTTGTTTAGTTTATATTTTACATATACTTTAAGGTATTTTTCTGTTCGTTTTACAATAATTGTATTTTGATAATTATCACTCATCTTCCTTTCAAAGATATCGAAATCCCAAAAAATCTCAAATTAAGGTTGTACAATGCTCTGATAAAAACGAGTTCAGATATATAACTGTAAGATCTGGACACTAACCAGCAGCCTAGAAAAAAGTATTGAAAGATTTCAGAGAAAAATCCTCCGCACGATAACCGGAGCGATCTGAGATCACTAACATATGGAGAAGAAAGACCAAGAAAGAACTGCTTATAGAAGCTGGTCAATCAATATCCCATGATATGAATGAACAGAGGTTAAGATGGACAGGGCATGTAGCTCGTAGAAATCCATCTTTAAACCTCTACATAACAATGGATGCCTCAATAGAAAGCAAAAGACCACGTGGAAGGCCTAAAAGCAGATTGATAAATAGAATAAACAAAGATGCACTCACTAGAGCTGCATGAAGTTAAATGAAAATAAATAGCCTAAGACAAGCAGTGATGGAGCAGGCTTTATTAACTGTATTAGTATAAATACCTCAAGTGAATGTGTACAGAGAATATAATCACATGAAAACGCTTGTTGAGAAACTTCCCATTGGTAGTACTCAATAGGCTTGTTAAGGCAGTAAAGGATCTACATGGTCTGTAATGCCAACACACAAAAAAGAAAAATTATCACTAATAATTTTTATACACAATATAAACTCCCGAGACCCAGAATGGAAAGTCTGCGGCTATGTCCCTTCTCCCAAAAAGTTGAATTGCTCTCTTCTTAAAAATTGTTCAAGCCAAAGTAGGATCATAAAAATGGTACTTTATATATAGTTATACATGCTGTCTGTTCCATGTTTCCCCCTTTTATTCCGGCAGAGTCGAAACTAATGAGGACTGCGCCCCAATGCAAGCGTTTTTCCTTTGCGCCCCTACCAAATAAAGGCCAAAAAAATCAATTTTATCCTTATTCCTTATATATAGTTGTAGGTTATCATGAGATGAAGCTATTTACGAAGTTTCAGGCGGATGTTAAGAATTTGATAAAAAGGGCTGTACTACGGACTGTAGCCATTTCTTAACTAACTTAAGCCATTTATTAAGTGAAAAATTATAATTAATGCAAATACTGATGTACTGTTAAGTACTGAATTATACTATTGCATCAGCCGTGGATCGACCCAAGGATCGAGGGAGTCTCCTGGAGCACACTTATCCTCAATATAGTTGGTCCACTTTGAATTAAATAATTAATAAAGCGAGGAAAACCTGGTGGATGAGCGTGATTTCCGTTCTGCACAACCGCTGGTCTTGAAACAGTACATGCTTATAAAGTACTGAACCCAAGACCCTTTTTGGGTTTCAGAGGTACAGTTTATGTTTCAACATCGAGTAAAAAAAGTCTATAACATAAGTTCCTTCGATACCTATACTTATGGTATCCATTTTGACCAGTTCTACATGAATGGAATACTAAGAAAACTTGTAACAGTTGAATATAAAAGAAAAATCCTCTTATAGATTAATATTATTTTTTTTATCTATATGATATTTACAACTGTATAAAAAAAATATATATCTAGTAAATTCGCACATGGATATAATGACATGAAACACATGTTGAGAAACTACCCATTGGTAGCACTCTAATAATATGTCTATATAAGGAGATCACGTGGCCATCTTCTTTTCAGACGCCTCGGAGGGTTATCAGGAATTGAATAGGAAGCAAGGTTGGAAACAAGAGGGTTGGGATGGTTATGAAGTTTATTATGGAAGGACAGATATCTGGATTGGGCCAAATCTGAAACATAAGGAACATTAAAGACGTTGTGGATGATTTTATTTGTAACAAAGTAAGGAGCTTTGAGGATTTTACGTAGGAATTTGAAGGTTTGGTGGAGCCCCATAGCTCATGATTAATATTCATTTATATTTTTTTAAATTATGGGATATTAGAACTTCTTGTTTTGTATAATTCATCATATACATATCAGTGTATTTAATAAATCTATATCTAAGTATCTGACATATCCGATATGTCCTCTTTGTAAAAGAGTTTCGACGACAGTTTTCTTTTTAACTGCATTGAACCTGGTTGGATCCTTTCGTCCGGAAGTGATGAACGGTTCCACTTTCCCGCTCCTCCTCGACTTCCGCCAATAGAAAGTGCCTCTTGTGCCGCCTCAGGAGTGACATTCCTTCCGATTGCTATAATTCCACGGATCTATTATGGACAATAATACCATTAGCCACATCAATTCTCTCACATCTGCCTGTATTGTTCAATGATTCATTTTATATATATTCATTTAAATTATGTATATGAAGAAAAAAGTTATTAATACCATAATGCATACTACAATAGGGAAAAAACATCCCTAACCCGAAAAAAAAATGAAACTTATTAGAAATTATTCATTAACATCCCAGTAATAACTGGTAAAAAGTATTTTAAATTTCTCGAACCTGGAGAACTTGAATCCTCGTACTAGACTGAAACGACAAGAAACCGCTCGACGTTTCCGATTACTTCAGCACTTAATAGACAAACGCTCTAAGCTCCCAGTCAATTACAAAAGACTCATATACATGACTACAATAAGACCTATTTGGACTTACGGAATTGAGCTCTGGGGCTCCACTAAGCCATCGAATTCCTCTCGCATCCAATCCTTACAATCCAAAATCCTTCGTAAAATCCTCACAGCTCCTTACTTTGTCACAAACAAAATCATCCATAACGACCTTAATGTTCCTTATGTTTCAGATCTGGCCCAATCCAGATACCTATCCTTCCATAATAAACTTCAGAATCATCCCAACCCTCTCGTTTCTAACCTTGCTTCCTCTTCAATTCCTGATAACCCTCCGAGGCGTCTGAAAATAAGATGGCCTCGTGATCTCCTAATGTAGACATATCATTAGAGTGGGTAGTTACTCAGTTACTTCGGTAGTTACTTAGTTAGTTATATCATTGGGTAGTTAGTCAGCAAGTGTTTTCATGTCATTATATCCATTATGTTCAAATTTACTAGATGTATTTATTCAATACTGTTGTAAATATCATTAAGAAATAATAAAAATAAAAAAAGTTTCTCGCATCGGATTTTGATGGGGAGAGTTGAATAACGAAAAAATCTGGTATTTATTTTTTTAAATATTTAAAATGTATTTATTGTGCATAGTATGAATGAGCTATTCTTTATCGCTATTACTATTGTCCTTCAATGTGACAGATTGTAATATATCTCGATAAAGGAATTTCCTGAAAAAAATGTTTAAAATGCTATGAGGTGTATACTAGATAGAACGTATACAGGGTGTCCCATAATTAGGAGGAAATATTTAAACGGGCAATTTTTGACCTCAAGAGCTATGTAAAAGTTCATATAAACAATTGAATAAACAAGTTCTGTATATTTTAAGTAAGTCACGTTTTTTGTTGAATAGGAAGCTATAACTAAAAGAATATTGCATTTGGTTAATTATAGATTGCATCACAGTAAGCTAGACAAAATCTGCTTCAAATGAATGTAGAGTTTGTCACTGTTAAAACTCTTTGAAGAGCACCTTTGAACGGCTAAACTAAGCTAAGTTCTCTTCTAAGTTTAAAAAAAATCATTTTTTTAGAGACATAAATAAGTAAAACAATTTAGTTTTGTTATTGATCCCTCTTCAGAAGATGAAATCTATCGTAACATTTATTTATATATGTAATGAAACCAAATATATGAGATCAATGTAGATCGAAACATAACATCAACATCACAAAATTAATTGATCGATATAGAATACTATTTTGTTGTCTGTTTCATTTATTTATTATTGATTTTTTTTTTTAACAAAGCAACATTTGGTTATAATTTAAATGAAAATCTACTATGAACACCGACAGTTTCATGGTGTTTGGAGCAATTTTTACTAAAAGTAGAATTACATAGACTTTACTTGGATCTTCAGGGGCCCCTGTCACTTTAAAAATAACAAAAAAAAAGTATTTAAATAATTAAAGTTATCCTTTCAATAAAGCAACTGTATTAGAGAAATGTTGAATGAAATATAATTCTAATATTACATAATACAAAACAGCTTAAGAAAATAATTTTTTTTTAGGAGGGTAGAGATTACGTTATTATCCGTGGGCCTCGAATGTCTAAGGTCGACACTGTTGTATGGAATCATTTCATAGATATTTTGTACAGAGTGTCACTTTAATTTTGTATAGAGTAATATTTGCGATAAACCTATATATAGTGTTACCCAAAATCGGTCTGTGTCTTGCACTTTGCAGGACCAAGACCAAGACAACCTGATTCTTTCAAGACCATGACCAAGACTGGTAAAAAAAAAATTGCTTTTTTGAATGAAAATTGAGGCAAAATAGTTACTAATACATTACAATTTTAGTTACTATATGTAAAGAATTGG